GGGACCAGGCTCCTGTAGGGGGAAAAAAAAGAAAGACCGTCTCCATGCATAGGCACAAAGGGGTGGAATTAAGGATGCACCGGCAGCTTTCCTTCCAGCATCTCCTGACCTCCGAGTGCTTGACTTTGCAACCTTAATAGAGTTCTTTGGACATGGTTTTCTGTGTGCAATTAGTTATATTGCAAAAGCACCCAGAAATCCCATGCAGGATTAGGACGCTGGTGCGTTAGGGGCTGTACACGCATGCGGGTCTGCTCTGCACTAGCACGGTTGGAAGCAACAAACGGGAGTGCTTGTCTGGACAGAGCTATGGCATTTCTGTCCCTGCGTCATGTAGATTTGCTCCGTGTCCACTTCAAGGCTGAGCCTCCAAGCTCCCATTTGCAGAGCGGCTGGGTGGCCCTACCAGCGTAGGAGCTGTCCCTGGGTTCACTCTCACTGCATGATTGGAACCCACAGCCGGCTGCCCAGCTGCCTCAGGCAAATCTCTAGTTAACGCAGAGGGGACGATCAGTCCTCCCCGGCACACACCAGCCCTCTCCACACGGGGCGAAGGGATCAGAGAGGCCTAACGACGCAGACAGGGGCTGTGTTTTAAAGAACATCCCCGCTCCCGCCCTGGCCAGGAAAACATAAGCACCCAAGGATGACATGCAATGCACACGCCTACACCCACACATACTGCAAGTGCACACACATACGCCATACATTCTCCACACACTGACCCCTGATTCCACACACACACACCTGCCTGCAGGCTGGCTGACAGGCTGACACACACACAAAGCTCTGAAAACAGGCACATCAATGGTATATCCACAGAGCCATGGAAAATACCCACATGTGTGTTCAGCGGCACCATTGCTAGAGGGTTAATCGTTAAGGATGGGCTGAGATTTGCAGTTATAGCTGTGCATGAATCCCCCCAACCAACTCACAGGTGTGCATTCACATGTATGTACACGCTCTCCCTTGCACAGACACGGTGACACACACGCGGACAGGTGGAAATACCCACCCGCCCCCGCCCGTCCTTTCTGGCCGTCAGAGAGTCACAACAAAGCCAGCCTTTCTCCCAGCTCGGCAAGCCACGCCAATCTCACAACCCACTGTGCCAAATTACAGGCAGCGGGCTGCCGTCAAGAGCAGGAACATTACCTGTCATCATCGCGGCACATGGCAAGGCACAGGGCCCTGCCCCCACTCTCCTCCCCCGGCTCCTGGCAATGAGGGCCAGATCCCACCAAGCTGTGCCCCCTGCCGAGCCCCTGAACTTAACAAGGGTGGATCTTTGCTGTCACTTGATCACTGCCTTTCAAAGCGCCTTGCGCTCAGGAAAGGCTCCTGGAGGCGGTAGGGGGATGAAAGCTGCTTGGCTAATCCTTGAGGGGAAATTGCAGGGGAGAGGTATGAGATTCATTATTATTTTCAGGGCCAGGGGAGAAATACTATGTGCATTAAGTGTGAAGGGTCTGGGTTGAGACCCCTGTGGGCTGACATCCTTCATGCTTCATTTCTCGCCAGGGCAGGAAGGACGGCCCAGTGGTTAGGGCGCTAGCCTGCAAGTTTGGAGATCCGGGGGTCAATCCTGTCCTCTGACACAGGCTTCCTATGTGACCTTGGGCTAGTCAGTTAGCCGCTCTGGGCCTCGGCTCCCCATCTGTGCCATGAGGATAACAGCACTGGCCCATAAAGGGTGGGGTGGGAGGATAAATTCATTCAAGAGGGTGCTTACATATTAGAATGCTGGGGGGGCCAGACAAGGCCCGAAGATAGACAGCTAACTCAATCCACAGAGGCAGAGGCCCCCATACACCCATCATGTAGTGCCCCACCTGGGCTGGATTGGAACCAGTGGCCAGGAGGACTGGGATCAGAGCAGTGGTCCCTCTCGCCCGCTCTCCTGAGCCCCGCAGCAGCCAGCATCAGCTGCTTCGGAGGCAGGTGCAAGATCCCCTACCGCTCTGGGCTAACATGACTCCAGGCAGGTGGAGAGGGGACTCGTGCCGAGAAGCCAGAGGGTTCACAACGCTGGCTGATATTTACGAGTCTCGCTCTGGGTGGTCTTGTGGATCTGGATATCCTAGTCCCAAGCTCTCAGGACGTCAGGTCTGCTTCATATGAAAGGTGGTCTAGTCCCTGGGCCAGATCCCCACCTAGTGTAAATCAGCCATAGCTCCAGTGGAATCCACCCGGAGGTCCTCTACCCTCATAGCAGGTACAGCATGGGCCGCAGCAGCGTAAGCTCCTCTCCAGCCACAATCGTATGCACTGATCCCTGAACAATCTACCTGCTTTTATGCCCCACGCACCCCAGCGTCTGAGCACCTTACAGACACCGGCCAGGGAGCCAGGGTGAGGCCCGCCTGAGCCATGGTACAACTACTTTTAAGTGCCAGGTCGCAGCACTGCTCAGGTTTGGCCCGGCTGCTCTTCTGTCTTGACCACGGGAAGGGGGGGGAGTCGGGGCCAAATCTGAGCGAGTGGCGTTGCGACCTGGTGCATGGGGTCACAGCACTGCTCAGGTTTGACCTGGCCGCTCCTGTCACCGTAGGCAGAATCCGTGGCCCCAGGCAGCTGCCTAGTTTGCCTATAGCTAGACAGGCCACAGAGCAGGTACCTGAATAGATTATCCCTCCCCGCCCCATTCGTCAGCTTTAAATGGCACCCCGCAGCCCCTGCTCACAGACATTAACGAATTCATCACCCCGGGAGCTACGGTGCATCATCCCCACTTTGCAGATGGGAAACTGAGGGAATATCAAGACAAATTCAGATTAGAACTAAGTCACAAATCGTTAGCCTGGAGGGTGAGTAACCACCGGAACCAAGTGCCAGGGAAGTGGTGGATTCCCAATCTCTAGGTGTTTTCAGATCCAGCCTGGATTCCTTTCTGGAAAGGATGCTTGGGTCACACATGAGTTCTTGGGCTCCCTAACTGGATGTAATTCTCTGCTCTGCGTTACACTGGGGGTCAGGCCAGGTGATCGGTCCCTGCTGGCTTTAAACATTGACGTAGCTATAAGTGACTCATGCAAGGTCAGCCAGGGGCAGACCCAGGAATTGAGCCAATCCAGCGCCCCCCACTACCCCCTTCTGCCCACAGCGTAACTCAGTCAGTCTGTGTCCCATTCACACCAGGGCCATTCTATGGTGGGAGGGTCCCCCCCGGATCTGAGTCGAGAACCTGCAATCTCGTTTGCCCGCCTGCCAGAGGATGTGAAACAGCCAAGGAGCGTGGGGTGGATGAGACAAGGCCAACCTGCTTCTGCAAGTGCAGAATGTTCAAAGCCCCGCAGAGGAATGTACAGGAGCAGTTGGAATAACGGCAAGCGTCCTAGTGGGGCAGACAAAGGCTTGAAGGCCAATCAAATTGCATTCAGAAAGGGGTTCATTACAGCTCCTATAAACGCTCAACGGCATATTTCCCTCATTAGATCCCCCGGCGAGACGTGCAAGTAATAGCATTATATTCAGCCAGCCAGCCAGCCAGCGCTGCCTTGAAAGCCCGGCTGCGACAGGCCTGTTCCTCTCCCTAGCCCAACGCAAAGGCCTCCTCAGGGCTCGAAAGCACTTGAGATTGCAGGACTCAGGTTAGCTCATGCCGGACGCGGAGCAAAGAACCTGCCCCCCCAGATTCAAGCGATTTCTTTGTGAGCCCCTGGGCCAGAACTAGCAGAGTCTGCACAACTCCGACACATGGAACAAGTTGACGGTAGAGAAGCATTGGATTTTTTGGGGGACCTGGCACATTCAGGAGATTTGGTGTGGCCACAAAATTAGCCCCAACAAACCCAGTGGTAGGGGCTGCGTTACATGAGCCGGGAAGGAGTCAAAGCCTGATTTTGTCAGACCAACGTTAGGAGCAATGAGATCCTGCGGCTGTCCAGCCACCCAGCTTCGTTAGCAGGCTCCGCGCTAATCCAAAGCAACACCCTGGCAGATGTGAAGGGACTGACCTGAAAGAGGTCTATAAAATCATGACTGGTGCAGAGAAAGTAAACAAGGAAGTGTTATTTACTCCTTCTCGTAACACAAGAACTAGGGGTCACCAAATGAAATTAATAGACAGCAGGTTTAAAATAAACAAAAAGAAGTATTTCTTCACACAAAGCACAGTCACCCTGTGGAACTCCTTGCCAGAGGATGTTGTGAAGGCCAAGACTATAACAGCGTTCAAAAAAAGAGCTAGATAACTTCATGGAGGATAGGTCCATCAATGGCTATTAGCCAGGATTGGCAGGGATGGTGTCCCTAGCCTCTGTTTGCCAGAAGCTGGGAATGGGCGATAGGGGATGGATCACTTGATGATTCCCTGTTCTGTTCATTCTCTCTGGGGCACCTGGCATTGGCTACTGTTGGGAGACAGGATACTGGGCTAGATGGACCTTTGGTTTGACCCAGTCTGGCCGTTCTTATGTTCTTAAAGATTCAAAGGACTGGCTTTTCCCTCCTCTTCCTCATTCTCCAGTTGGGAACACCCCCTTCCCAATGCCAGAGGCTGCAAAGCCTCTTGGATCTCTTTCAGTTCCTCACCCCCACGCCCTGTATCTCGCTGACAGCAAGGCCAGAAACCTGCATCACAGCACCTGGAAGGCAGCCAGGCAAGTTGGGAAGGGCACTGAACTGGGAGACAGGAGACCTGCTGGGTGACCTTGGGCAAGCCCGTGTCGCTCTCTGTGCCTCGGTTTCCCTTTCCACCCTTTGTCTGTCTTGCCGACTATATGCCTGCACAGCACAGGGCTCCGGATCTCTAAGTGCAGCCATAAGACAAATACCCCTAGCTCCTCCATCAGAAGCCGAGAGGTTCCCAGGGGCCTGTTTTGCTAGCAGCTCGCTTGTTGGCTTTTGCTGGTCACGAACCTAACCCACTATGTTCAGCGCCACAGCAGATGAAGGGAAGCAGCACGAAAGGGGCCGTGGCAGAACTGGGGTTCCCATGTGTCCTGCAGCCATTGGGGATCCCATAGCTAACCCTATGGAATAAATCCATACCATACCGTCACAGCAAACTCCAGTAGCTGGTTCAGGGCCCGGCGCATCAAACTCCATAATCTTTCTGCATACGACCACGCTCTCTGGTTTGCTCGCCTGGCCGAGGTAGCAATCACAAGCTGCAGCCGCCCTGCGAGGGTCCGCTCGCTTTCCGGTCTCTGCTTCATGCCTGTAAGGCTTGGCTCCTGCCTTCCTGTTTTGGGCGGGGAGGGGACACAGGGACAGATGATGGGACAGGAGGTGAGATTGGGTGGAGGGGGCTGGGCAAAAGTACCAAAAGAGGATTGTGCCCCTGAAAATGAGGTACCATCTGCGGGGGGAGGGGAGCATGTGCTCCACTGCCCTCTACTGTAAGGTATCAGAACTGCTCAACTGGGTGTCAGAGAGCTTCACATCTCATGAAGATTCTCCCATAGTTCAGGTGGCAGGGGCAGAAGAGGCTCAAGACAATCAGCCGGTCTAGGCAAAACTTCAGTATGCTTCCCCCAGATTTGGCCCACCTCCCCCATGGCGGAGGGGAGGCCATGATGGAGGTGGGGCAAACTCCTGATCCAACTGGAAGCTGCCTGTAACAGCTGGCCCTTCTGCCTACAAATCTAAATCCTAGATCTAGATCCCCCTCCCAGTTTGTTAGGGCTGAAAGTCAGGCTCCAGATCCTGCTCCTCAAATCCCCAGCTTGAGCTAATCCCTAAATTGGGGTGACCCTTGAAGATCTGTCCTGCAAAGGCAGCAAGCAAGGGGTTTCAAAGAGACTGCTGAGATCCCTGTAGGAGCTTGAGCTGGGCTGCCAAGGGGCCTGGCTAACATGGGTTTGCCACACAGCACGGGGAGATTCTCTGATCCCCGTTTGAGACCTTAGCTCAAGGGCAGCGGGAGCTCACTGCAGAGCAACAGCAGGCTTAGGGGAGGCACCGGGCGGGAAGGCCCAGGGACGGGATGTTTAGACAGAGTCGAATGTTGGAGAAATGCTGCCAAGCAGAATTCTGCTCCAGGTCATTGAGCAGCAAAGGCCCAGGCGCGCTGGGGGAGCTCACGGTAGCTAACAGCCTTTGTCTGCTCAAATCCCCGTGCAAAGCGCCGCAGGGTTTTGTAGAGGCTTTTGATCAGCGCAACGGGTGTAACAATCCCTGTGTGCAGCTCAGTGCTTGTGTGCAGCCCTGCATGGACAAAGCAGTGTGTGCAAAACAGTGCCCATGGGCAACCCTGCAACAATAAACCAGGGTGTGCAGCCTAGCCCCCACGGGCAACCCTACAATAACAAACCAGGGCGTGCAGCCTAATGCTTACGGACATCTCGGCAATAACAAAGGCTACACAGCCCACCACTCACAAGCAACCCTGGACCAACGAACCCTGTCACAGCGACCTCCTGTTAACAAGCCAGTGCATGCCGCCCAGCGTTCACCAGCCACCCAGCTCGTGCTTTTAACTCTGGAGGTCCCCGGTTCAATCCCGGGTGCACAGAAGGCGTGAGGCCTGGCGGCTGGATTCCACCCCGAGGCCCGTGGTGGTGGCGGTGAGCTAAGGGATATCCACCTGCCCGCCAGCGCTCCACAGGTCACGCACGCCACGGGGCTGCTGCACAGACATTGCCAGAACACCAGGCCTGGCAGGCAGTCTACGTGCCAGAGCCCGGGTAGCCTCAGAGGGAGTGTCACTGGTGTGGGTGACACAGCAGCCAGGGGTGTTTGCAGAGCGTCACCAAGTCCAGGGGAAATTGGAAATGACAGCGGTTGAACAGACAGCAGGCCCCTGCCCTCCCCCAGCCGGCACATCAGCACAAGGGACAGCACCAGGGTCCCCTGCAGCTAGGGTGACCAGACAGCAAGTGTGAAAAATCGGGACAGGGGGTGGGGGGTAATAGGAGCCTATATAAGAAAAAGACCCAAAAATTGGGACTGTCCCTATAAAATCGGGACATCTGGTCACCTAACCTGCAGCTCAACAGACAGGCAGAAGGAGGCTGGGGTGCCTGGGGGGGAGGGTAGAGAGGTTAGAGCAGGGGGCTGGGAGTCAGAATGCCTGGGTTCCACGCCCAGCACCAGGAGGGGAGCGTGGGCTAGTGGTTAGCGCGCCAAGTCCCTCCTAAATTGGCTCCGTGTAAAGCTGAGCCGCACGCAGCAGGTGGGCTGCTGTTGGGAATCTGGGCTTTGCCATCCCCTCCCACTCCTGAACACTGGCAGAACCGTGAGTCATGCTGGCCAATGGGAAGTTTGCCAGCAGGCCCCCCTACCTGCTGCTAGCGTCCACCTGGGACTGAGGAGGTGATGGGGGTGTGAGAGCGGGAGCAGGGCTGACATCATTCCTCTGGAGACCCCAGCCATGAAGCTGCCAGAGAAGGGAAGTCTGGTGGGAACGCCAATATCTCAGCTAAATGCCAAAGGAAGTCGCTCTATTTTGGCTCATCCCTTTCTGCCACTGCTTCAGTAAACTGTTGCTGTGTGGCTGTTCAAAATCTGCCATGCTTCACTCCAGAGCTGGCTGCATTTCAGCACCAGGTGAGAGATCCCCGTGCAAAGTGGCTAGGTAGCTGTTAACCAGCTGCCACGTTCCACCCCAGAGGTGGCTGCATGTTGGTGGCAAGCGAAGGAATTCCTTCTCATGCTTTGAGATGAGCGGCACTAAAGAAATGAGAGATACTACTATCTACACTCCTATTGAGGGAGTCAGAGTCAGGACTCCTGCGTTCTATTCCTCACTCTGCCACTGGCTCATGGGAGGACCTTAGGCAAGTCACTTTCCTGAGCTCTGTGCCTCAGTTTCCCCAGCTGGGAAGTGGGGCTCGTGACACTGACCGCCCCAGGGTCTGCCTGGCATGGCCCTGCTGGCAGGCTGAGGGTATCGCTGTTACTCACTCATTTCTTCCTCTGTGGCAGGGAGATAGCGGTTCGCAATCTGCTCCATGCGGCTCAGAGCTGCCTTGGCCCCAGGCTCCAGCACTTGGCTGATGATGCTGGCATTCAGGACGATGTTCACCCCCAAGGCCACAATGCCCATCACGTCCTCCACCACCCCGCTGGCCCTCTCCGTCAGCCGGCCCACTCGCTCGGCGGTGCTGGACTGCAGCTGCTCCACGCCAGCAGCCAGGCTGTCTCGCAAATTCCCAAGGACCTGGGGGGCGACAGGGACGAACTCACATCAAGAGCGGGGCCCACTGACACACCAGTTCTTCACTTGCAGGCAGAGTGCGGGGCAGCACCGTTCCCCAGGGAGGAGGGGGTGGGCAGGTGCAGGGTTAAGTGTTGGGCCGTATAAGGAGAGGAGTCCATTCAAAGCCCCTGGTAACATGAGGGGGTACCAGGAAGAATAAGATTAAGGTGTGGGTAAGCGTGAGGGGAAGGTAAATTGTGCAGTAAGTTTGGGGGGCTGGTGGGGGTGCCGGTAAATTTAGGGTGTAAGTTTGGGGGGAGGATAAATTGTGCAGGTAAATTTGGAGGGTGGGGGGTGGTTGGCAAGAGTTTCATGTTCAGGGAGGGATCTGAGGAGGGTGAATTCAAGAGCAGGGGGTGGTATGTGGGGCTAGGGGGGTCACAGGAGGGTCGGAGGAGGGGCATAGTGGAGGGCTTGGGGGCAAGGGGAGTTACCCTGCTTGGTGGGGGGGGGACATGGCACATGGGCACAGAAGCCTGCTTAGGGGAACCAAGCGCTCTGCTCCGCCTGCAGGGCCAGGCATCTCCCTATCTCCCAGGGCAGCCAGGGGCCAGAGGGAGAGGAGATCTCTGACCGGTAACCCCATCCTTTGCCTCTGGGGTCCTGGCAATGGCTTTCAGCTGCAAAGAGCTGTCTGGTGGCACCCTCTGGTGGCAATGCCATGTATGGCAGGTGTGCATGCCACCAGGATACGTGCTTTTGGGAAAATACCCTGGCACAGTTATCTCCCCCAGAGCTTTACGCCAGAGACGGGGCCATTACAGTCAGGGCAGTCTGTATGGCAGCAGGCTGGCCCGATGCGTATCTGTAATGATGATGCCCACACACTCAAGTCTATCTATTTTTACGTACATCCAAACCAGGGGTGCAAACAAGAATGAAATTGGCAGCTTCTCCCCCCGACTATTCGACAATAATAGGGGGGCCTGCTCTTGGAGCTCCCAGAGTACTTTACAAGCAGGAATGAACTGAGGCTCATCAGCTCCCTACAGGGTGGCAGATTATCCCCCTTTTGCAGGTGGGGAAACTGAGTCACGGAGCTGGGACGTGAGTCACCCAAGGCTACACAGCTGGGAATAGAAACCAGGAGTCCTGACTTTCAGCCCCCCCATTCACTAACCACTAGACCCTACTCCCCGCTCCCAGAATAGAACCCACAAGTTATGACAAGGAAAACGGGATGGTTTTTCGGTTGTTTTCTCAGTCGCAGCATCCACAGCACCTCCGTCAGATCTCAAAGCCTAACCCCACCCTAGCAACGGGCCTTTTACCTCGTCTGCTGCCTGATCCAGAATGGGGAATCTTGCCTCCAGCTCATCCACGCCTCTCAGTGTGAAGCTATTAACCGCAGCTACTGGGCAAGAGAAAGCCATATGCATGTCACAAATGAGCACCCACATCTCAGACTCAGTCGGGTTCTGGCCTACAGGGGATGGGTTGGGGGTGTCTGTGAAGTCTGGATCCAAATCTGGGTTCAGGTTTCAAGTTAGGGCTGTTGAAAACTTTCCGCCAATGGAAACTTGAGTTATTAACTAAACTAAATTTTTCACAATAATTTTTTCTCTCTGTCAGAAAACTTAAATTCTCTGTCAAAAAACCAAATGCCCACAAGACAAAATATTGCAATTTTGAAATGCTGCCAGGGTTTCTCATGGGAGTTGTAGTCTAGGTGCTCCATGCTTCCATTCTCCTATAGGGGGTGGGCTCCCCTGTTGGACTTCATCTCCCATGATGCACTGCCTCTCCTCACCAAGAAGGGATGCTGTGGTGCATCCTGGGATCTGTAATCTGGCCAGGGAGCCCCACCTAAAAGGAGAATGGAGGCATGAGACATCCAAACATTCACTTAAAATGTACTGCTTCCATAAATATTCCTGCCACTAAAAGCTCATCCTGGAGAGGATGAGTGAACACAAAAGGGGCATGGGATCAGGGTAGCTGTGTTGACCTGAAGCACCTTACCTTGGTAGCAGGGTTCTAGTCTATTATGGAAGTGTTAGGAGGGTTTGCTGAGTTGCTGGTGCAGGTAGCTCATTACCGTACTTGGACAGAAGGGAGCTGGGAGTGGTTTTCTGGGGAAAGAGGATCTAGAGTGTGGGCTGAGTAGTCCTGTGGGAGGAACCTTAGGAGCAACCAAGCCTGGGCAGAAGATTTGAGCTGAACTTGATTATCTTGCTGCTGTTTGGTTAGTGAGAGAAGGCCAAGCGCTGGTGAGGGGGGTGGGTTTGGACGCCGTGTGGAGGGTAGACTTCCTTTGTAGAGCAGGTTAGGAATGGTGGCTGGACTCTTGCACCAATGCTTTGGTGCCATTCTGCTTTCGCTCCAGAAATGGAAATATTAAGAAAGGGCAAAGAAAGGGCCATTCCCATGCCATAGCCAGTCTGACCAGTCCTAGCAACGTCACTCATTAAGCCTCGCCCCCCCAGTCATACTCACGTGGCACCTCCAGCCTCTGCATGACCGGAGTGGTTGCCATCACGGCCACCCCCACCACGGTGCTCACGCTGCGCTCTGCCATGCCACAAAAGAAACCCACCACGGGGTGGGCACCCTTTATGTCCGCGTAGGTGAACACAGCGATCTGATAAGCCGAGCTGAACAGAGGGATACTGCCTAGGCGTGCCAAGGTGTTGCCCTAGGGAGGAGGGAAATGGGACTCGCGTGAATCAGGCTTGCTGGCGAGCATCTTTCAGTGCCGTTGCCTTCAGGCCTGAACAGCAGCTACCTGACCGCATGATGTCACCTGCTAAGCGCAGCCCTTAAAGTCACCCTGCCGTCCTGGAACCCCTCCACTGGCTTCTAGTGCGTCAAGAACAAACCCCTTGTCCTCCCTTTCAAAGCCTGGTGCAGTCTCCCTCCCCACCCACCTAATACAACCTAACGTTCTGGGAGTCACTAGAGGTTTCACGCAGTCTAACAAGTTCTATTTAACTGAACGTATCAGCGGTTCGATCCTGGATGCAGTTCTGTGTTGACAGTTGCGGTGCAGTTCTTTTTTGACCTCCACCTCCTGCCTAAGTCTCTAGGACTGACCCACATGCTCTACAAATGCCACTTCACTGAATGACTCAATTGTAGGTGCAGAACCATGCCCGCAAGTTCCACCCACTCCAGCAACCAGGGCCATCCCTAGCCATTTGGGTGTCCTACGGGGGACTGTGTGGGGCCTCAGGCCTTCTCTCCACCAGGGTCTGGGAGGCAGGAGCTGTGGGGGGGGCACTTTTGGGGGCCCACAGGCCCAGAGTGGCCCAGGGGATGAGCAGGGGGCCAGGAGTAGCCCACTCCGCTTCCCTCGCCCCAGCCGTGTCACTCAGGGGAGGCGGCTTCGGGGAAGGGATCCCCCCCCCACACTCGGGTGACCAGATGTCCTGATTTTATAGGGACAGCCCTGATTCTGGGGTCTTTTTCTTATATAGGGTCCTATTATCCCCCACCCCCTGCCCCGATTTTTCACACTTGCTGTCTGGTCACCAGCAGCGGCGGGAAGCGGAGCAGCCCCGGCACCAGGCCGCTCTACTCCGCCAGCTCCCAGCTGCAGTGCTCTGCTTCCCGCCACCGGTGAGCGCGGGGTCGCTGGGGGAAGAGGTGGGATGGGGGCGGGCCGGGGGCAGAGCAGCGGGGAAGGGTAAGAGGGAGTTATCCGGGACCTTCCCGCCCCAGGGATGGCCCTGCCCCTTGCAGTGGGTGCAGCCCGTGGGGGGCCAGCCGGGGGATAGGGCTGGTCGCCGGGGCTGGTACTTCAGTGTGTGCAGCATGCAAAATTGCCCCAAATTTCATGGTGCCCTACACAGCTGCGTATGCCTAAGGACGGCCCTGCCAGCAACCCCCCAGAAAATTACACACATTGTTGAATACATTCCTTGCACTGGTTTCCTCTCTGCTGCCTGCGTTCTTCCCATTCCTTTCTCCTCGCTGCTCCACCTGGGGCAAGTCCCGAAGCCCTCAATCAGGAAAGAGTCCCACTGACTTAGTACCTCAAATGATTAGGGCAAGGAGATAAAAATCACAGCCGCCACCCCAGCCTGCTCAAATTCCTGCTGCTCCGCAAGATTTTTGGCTCTTTTTGTTGTTTGCAGCCAGAGCCTCGTCCCCACCTGCCCTTCGGTGAAAGTCTTATCTGTGCCAACTGTGCATCAGCCCCCCTAACTCTGCACCTTCCAGGCCACTGCAGGCCCCGCTCCCTCTACAGTTTAACAAAAGACTCACACCAACCCCGGTGCCCTCAGAGCATTCCCTGTAGCATCCAGCCCCTGATCCGGGGCCATGTGGACTATCCAGGCGTGCTGTGCCCAAAGGAACAAAGGGTGACGCCGGTGCAATCATAACATGCTTCCCAGATCCTAAACTTAACAGCGTAACCCCCCGTCTAACAATGTTTCTCTGGCCCAGCGTCCTCTTCGGCATTTTCAACCCCGCCTGGCTGAGACCGCCTTTGCAGCAAGCCAACTCACTGTCCATTTTCTTCTTCAGCGAAGGGTGCCAGGGGGTCTTCTCCCCCACCCTCCGAACACAGCACCGCAAACCTTTGAAGTGCACTCATGGTAAGGTTTCTCTTTCACGCCCCCCCAAACCTGCTGTTTTTCTCTTCCTGAAGTTCTCACAGTCCTTCCTTTGCATTCAGTTCAGACCGGTGGCAGGTGACTTCTCGTGAACCAGACCATGTTCTGGTTACACAGTCAGATGGCAGGATGAAGATCTCACCCTGGTTTTCACCCACCTGCCCGCTCCAGACACAGATGATCCAAACACTTTTTGCAGTATTGAGACGTGACCTCTCCCCTCACACCCGGAGCCACATTTCACAAGGACACGGGTGACCTGCGTGAGACCAGCTTTCATTTGAGACAGGCTCTGGTGAACTAGAACATACATGCCAGACTCAGGAGATTCCCCTAACCCGCCTGCAGGCCTCTGTGCCCGTTCCAGGTGGCACTGAGTCGGTCCTGGGTCACACTGGTGTCGTTGATTCTTCCCATTAAAACAAAAGGGGTTTTCTCTTTCCCCGACCCCAAATAGAAATGGAAACAGGAAACGTGAAAGTTGGGAGATTTGACCCAGTCTTTGCGGTCAAACCCGGCTAGCTCCTTATCTAGGGCCCGATCCTGCCCACATAACTCCACTCACATGACTAATCCCCTTGCTTTTCATGGCACTACTCAGGGGAGTCAAGGATCAGGCCCCACACTTGCAACTGTCTACTGGTTAAAAGTGATGTGATAACTGCTCTCTTTTTTCAAACCCGTCAGTAACACCGACCCTTCAAACCTTGGTGCAACCGCATGACTCAGTACAGCACTTTACGTGGCAAGAGGGATGTTAAAATCATACTGCAGCCTTTGTCCAGACTTGCACACCGCTATAGAAAGCCGTAGGGCCTATGTCAGGGGTGGCCAGCCTGTGGCTCCGGAGCTCCATGCGGCTCTTCAGAAGTTAACATGCGGCTCCTTGTACAGGCACCGACTCCGAGGCTGGAGCTACAGGTGCCAACTTTCCAATGGGCCGTGGGGTGCTCACTGCTCAACTCCTGGCTCTTCACAGGCCCTGCCCCCACTCCACCCCTTCCTGCCCTCTCCCCTGAGCCTGCCATACCCTCGCTCCTCCCGCCGCCCCAGAGCCTCCTGCATGCCATGAAACAGCTGATCAGGAGGTGCAGGGAGGGAGGAGGCGGCGCTGATTGGCGGGTGGAAGGTGCTGGGAGCAGGGGGAGCTGCAGACATATTACTGTGGCTCTTTGGCAATGTACATTGGTAAATTCTGTCTCGTTCTCAGGCTCAAGTTGGCCACCCCTGGCCTATGTCATGTGGGAAGTCTGACGCAGTTACAGTGGTTCCCTTGGGCTCTATAATCTACGAATGCAATGGCCGCACATTTGTGTGACTGAGTTGGTGCCTATTTTAATCACATGTTGTTATTATGGCTACTATTGAGCTTTTGCTCCTTACAGATTGAGGGCGGGGGAGAAATACACAAGACACATCTGTGGAGTATCTTCCTCTGCAAAGTTCTCAGAGCACTACAAACGGTGACCTTGCATGGTGGATCAAAGCCGGTGCACAGCGTTGTCATAAGCTTGACACTCATTGCTCTTCGAGCTCCTGCAGCCGCTTTTGGGTGAGACCCCCAAAGCTTGGCAAATTCTGATTGACCAGGTCAAGTGGTGTGCACAGACAGAGCGAGCCAGATGCCCGGAATTTCTCTGAGTCAGTGTTGGAGCCAAGAATAAAAACCAGGAGTCCTGGCTCCCAGGCCTGTGCACAGACCACACCTGGCCTTATGACCGTTTCCTACTGCTAAAAGCTGGCATGGAAAATGACAGCAGGTCAGTGGCAGGCAGGTACAGAACCCAGGAATCCTGATTCCTGGCATCCTATGCTCCGTACGGCATATTTGTGACTGGCCTTGAAGAGTTGCTGACACCTTCTGAAAAGCTACCTAGCCACGTGTCTGTTGTTTCCAACAACACCCAACCGGGAGACGCAGCTCGGCTACATTTTGTCCTCACTTACACCTATCCCCAAGCCTAAATGCGGGCAAAACGTGCCCGTGACACTGAGTGTGTGTGTGTCGGTGGGAATAATGAGCAGCACGGATCTCAGTTTATTGGCCAGTCTCCATGGAGACGCATCCAGGGGTCAGTACAGACTGTGAAGGATGTGATGGGCATAAAGGCAGAATGGGGTTGATCCTCAGCTGGTGGACACTGGCAGATCACCACCGAAGCCAATTCAGCTGTGGTCATTTATACCCGCTGAGATTCTGGCCCAAAGTCTTCTGAATAAATTGTTCTGCAGAACTTGGGGGCAGCTTTTGGCGTTGTTTGTATACAGTGCCTAGAACAACAGAGTCCTGGGCCTCCCAGGTACCTGCCCGAATGAACACGATGAAAGAGAATTAACACGACAAAATCTACTTACATTCTTTAAAGCCATGCTTCCTGCTCAGCAAGGAGGGGGGAATGGAGAATGCTGGAATCAGCTGTCCTGCGGTCTGAAGAGGCTGCTCTTCTCCCTAGAAACCAACCAGTGGGGAAAAGGTTTCCACTGAGCAGCCTTTATGTTGGAAAAGTCTCCACCCCTTCGCTTTTGATGGCTTTAATGGATTGTTGAGCAGAATTCCAGCCTCAACGAGGATTAATAGACTGGATCAGATTAGCCCAGGGCCACATTCATAGTTTTAAACAGCTTGGGGGGGAACCCAAGAGCCAGACTCAAGAGTTTTTTTTTCAGGACCAAGTTCTCCGAGAAGAAAGCCACAAAAGGGGAATGCGGCCTCACGGGGAACGAACCCAGTGCCCAGGCATGTACTAAGCTTGAAACTCAACTTTTGTCAACGAGAAAATCTTGCAACTCCCATCAAAGCCCGGCTCCAAATGGATCCAGAGAGCAATGTGTGGCTTCTAGATGAAAACGAAGGGAGGTTGGCACAATTTCACTGAGAGTTTCTCTCGATACGAACACTGAGGTCACAGAAAGCTGCAATGTCAATCTACCCTGCGCTTAAGGCAATTGGTAGGCATCACTGCAGCATGCCAAGACATACCCGGGCCAGCTTTCATCCAGCTAGCATGGCTAACAGTAATAAACATGGTAGCAGGGGCTAGAAACCTGCGTACAAACCCAGGCTCGCCAGCGAGCTTGGCAGCATGGATTAGTCACCCGAGTACATGTGCTACACCGCTATGGTTACCCGATGCCAGCTACATTAAAGCTGGCACGGGCATGCCTATTATCACTCCTCCCCTTGCAATGGGGACGTACCCTGAGTGTGCAACAGGCTAGTGTGAGGTAGATTTACATCCTGCTTGCCATGAACTAAGTATTTGTATAGCCAAACTCTTTGAACCTCCAAGAGCAAAAGCCCTCCGTAGCCCGAACCCTCGAGAAGAGTTTTTGCTCATTGAGAAATGTCTTGATTCTAGAACTAGGGATGGACCACAGGATTGTACGTAATCCTGATTTTGTAGAGTTCAGAGGTGGATCCGAACCGGCTCCTCTCTCTGTAAAAGGAGCAACTCAAAATTCTGTATCCGGTTCCACCAACTATTATAAACAAGAGTTTCGCTCTCCCACATCCCCCACGTAACCAATGTTTAAGGAGCCAACCAGGTACTGCAGCATCCTTCTGAAGGAGCAATTTCTCTCTTGCTAAGCACCTGTAAAGCTAGCGCTTAGAACGGCTTGTTTGTCGCATCTCCTGGTATCACCCCTCCCCCCAGAACAAGCTGCCCTTTCTGACAAAAGAGGAGCAAAGCATCAGGCCTGGTCTACCCCTAAAACTTCAGTCGACGTAGCTCCATCGCTCTCAGCTGTGAAAAATGTCATGCCCTGTGCAACGCTGTTAGGTCGACCTAAGCCACAGTGCAGATGCAGCTAGTTTGACAGACGAATTCTTCCATCAACCTAGCTATTGCCTCTTGGGGAGGTGGGTTACCTGCACCGATGGAAAAACCGTCAACGTAGGAAGCACCTGCAGCTCCATAGCTGGGCCGCTGTAGCATGCACGTAACCTCAAGCTGACATAAAGAGCAGAGCACCAAATACATCTGAAGTGATACACGGTGTTAGATTTATATGCAGCCGGCTAACAGCTCATTAACGTTTTCTCTGCATAGTCAGCTATACAGGAGAGCAGGATAGAATTTGGGGTCAGAGTCCCCCTTGTCCATGGGGAGAACCCTTAAATGAGGTGGGGGGAGGGATAGGTTTCATTCCCACATGGCACAAAGCATAGCCAGATTACTGAGCCTTTTTGTGTTTGTTTGAAAAGGGAGATAAGCCCTGACACACGTTCATGTGAACTCGATGAGTTCCGGCGGTTAGCGCTCGCGCCCCCCCCCCCGTGTCAAATCTCTCTCTGAGGTCATCTGCAGAGATGTCGATGCTACGGGAAGTCTGCAAAACAGCCTAATTAGGAATAGATTCAGGGTGATGCCCGGAGGGACACTGGGAAGACCGGTTTGTTATTTTGCGGGCCCCTTTCACCTATCCGCCAATCGTTTTTGAACCATACCCTACTTATCTGGGGATAAAGCTCGACTGCTCTGGGTCCTGTTGACAACACATTGAGAAGACACGAACTAAAATCCAGTCAAGAGTCATACACCTTCTCAGCTTGCCGGCCACTTGTGCTCTAACCTCATGGATATCTACCCATGACTTAAGTATTGCGTCTGCCAAATGCAGTGTAGCAGCTTGGAGCTCCAGTCGTCACTGTGGCCATGACCAACACTGGTGGGACCCGGACAACGTCAGTTTCCAACCTTCCGCTCTCGACTGGTATAGCTCTCCCAATGACTGGGCATGAAGGCAGGGCCACCTATCAGGACAGCTTACTTCACAAGGTCATCTTAAAGCCGCCTCAAAAATGCCGGCAAAAATCAAAACGTCCCTTTGCTGAAATAGTTGAGCTTCTCAGACAGTACATCAGACGTGACTTTTCTAAGGAACAGTGGCAACAGGTGGTGAATGCCACTCCCAGTCCAGTGCCCTACTTACTGGGTATGCTCTGCCACTGACTTGCTTTGTGAACAAGTTACTTCCCTTCTCTTTGCCTCGTTTTCCTCTCTCTAGTTCTCATGAGCTCCAGTTCAGTGGCCAATCTGCTGGACCATACTGGCTTTGCAACAGAAGTGCAAAGTCTGATCATCTCTGCCAGGGGAGGACTTTTATCCATTGCTCACATAAGATCTATGAATAGCCAATGTTTTACCTTTGGAATGCACTCAGCTGTATGTATGAGAGATCAATAAGACTGGGACTTTTCAAAGAGAGGACTAAGGGGGAATATGATAGAGGTCTATAAAATTATGACTGGTGTGGAGAAAGTAAACAAGGAAGTGTTATTTACTCCTCAGAACACAAGAACTAGGGATCACCAAATGAAATTAATAGGCAGCAGGTTTAAAACAAACAAACAAAAGGAAGTACTTTTTCACACAACACACAGTCAGTCTGTGGAACTCCTTGCCAGAGGATGTTGTGAAGGCCAAGACTATAACAGGGTTCAAAAAAGAAGTAGATAAATTCATGGAGGATAGGTCCATCAAGTGCTATTAGCCAGGATGGGCAGGGATGGTGTCCCTAGCCTCTGTTTGCCAGAATCTGGGAATGGGTGACAGGGGATGGATCACTTGATGATTACCTGTTCTATTCATTCCCTCTGGGGCACCTGGCACTGGCCACTGTCAGAAGACAGGATACTGGGCTAGATGGACCTTTGGTCTGGCCCAGTATGGCCATTCTTATGTCCAAACCATGCTCCCAACTACAACCCCGCTGTAATGGCTCCAATCCTCCTTGCCCTTGTAAATTACTATGTGAATGCTGCCTCCCCCAAAATAAGCATCTGTCACAAATTAAGAGACACAAGATGACAGGAAAATAGCAGCAGCTTTGCTTTTTAATTCATTAGCTTGCAAACTGCCCTATGTTTTCTTAAACCTGAGGAAGAGCTCGGTGTAAGCACAAAAGCTTGTCTTTCACCAAAAGTTGGTCCAATAAAAGATATTACCTCTCCCACCTTGTCTCTCTTTTTAAACTATTAACAACTTAATTGTACAGTATTTACATCAAACTGACAACGTGATTGTTAGAGACACTTTGCGGCTGTCTATTGTACATTTTAAACTTCAAGGAACTTAACAATATTGCTCTAAAATGTCAAAACCTTCATGTTAACCGTATAAAGAAGCTGCTGGCAGCTGGGTTTGCTAGAGGCAGAAGAGCATGTTAATAAATAGACTGAAAACAATTTAGTGTGATATTTTTACTTAGCATCACCCCCACCCATTTAACTGATTTATGTTCGCTCTACTCCCTCCTTCACCAACATTACAAAGTGTCCGGGCTACATCTAACATTATGCAATAACGCCACTTAACAGCTACGTTATTCTTATTGATATGTGATCTTCTACAGGCTCTGTACTCAGATGGAGATTAACACCTGCATACAAGGCACAGATATCCACAAAGACAACTGTACTTACATTTTACCTTGACAATTTAAAACATCTTCATTTGGCAGGCAGTGGCAGAGCTGTGACCCAACTGAAAGTCTGGAGCCCAGTTCCTCTTATAACCCCTTGCAATTTGGCTAACAAGCCATCAGTTTTCTCTTGCTATAGCTTATCATAGTTCAAGGCAGCTAAAATCAGAATTACCTGGGTGAATGAATATTTGTGTATGTACGTGCACAACCAGGGGTTTTCTTCACAAGGGCAGCAGTGATTCTGAGTCCTAATGCAGCAATAGACAGTGCTCTGGGATGCATGTAAGGAAGGGTGGGTGGATGCGGATGAGTCCTGAAGGCATGGAAGAAGAGCACTGATCGATAAGAGCATCCATGTGTACAGCCCACGACAGGTTAAACGCAAGCGAGATCATTCTCATTACCCTACATACATAATTAACAGGGATCACCGAAGAACGTAGTGGCTTTAGATATAAATGCAGTCCTTGGTCTGAGACTACCCATTGTTGGGTGATAAAAATCTCTCTGCAGCCAGATCAGCCAACAGTCTAGAGGGCTGCATTGATGTTCTGACTTTGCACAGAGAAACAGAACTTGATAGACTCCAGTAAAATGGTAATTTCAGATCAGCACGTACTTTTATTATGAAAACAATCTCAATACAGATTTCCATTCAAAGTTAGCATTGCACCATTTGTTTTCTCCTCCTCTCCAGTTTATTAAAGTACACCAAAGAAGCCATTAAAAAAACAGCTGGGTGAGCATTTGGCTAGCTGGGTGAACAGGAGGGTAGGTCTGTGTCATTCCTACTTTACAGACGGGGAAGTGAGGCACAGAGACATGAAGGTCCACAGTCATTCAGGGCACAAGAAAAAAAAAACAGAACCAGGAGTCCTCAGTCCTGTCCCTGTGCTGAGATTACACCCCATCTTACGGTCTCTATGCATTGCTGCAAATTGGTGCGCATCATGTCAGTTTCACTTACCCGCTTTCACAGGTCACCCTGCTCCACGCCTGAACATCCCTGCGTGCTTTATAAACAATGGAAAAACAGAGC